TCTATACTAGGATCGCTGTCCCCATCCTCCAGTGCACCCCTGTCCGTCGCCTCCTGAGTAACAAGGGCAGAAATCCAGAAAAGGGTGTCATTGCAGCGCAATCGAATTCCGACAAGAGCTCTCCGGTTCACCAATCATCAGCAAGAGACGCCCATTTCACTCGCATCCTCGCGCCTCCCGAGACTCTCGTCTCTGACCTCCTGACCGAGTCCAACCACCGACCGACCCGCGCAAACTGAGTGAGCAATGTCACGACAAAGACTGTAACATCGCCATAAAGACATCTATTCCACGCCTATTCTTCTCGGCATTTGCATTTTGCAACCCCCGTTCAGCATTCTGCACCGCCGAGAAGGACAACACCAAGGCCTCCGCGATTCCTCCCTTCGACATCGCCCTCCAATCATCCAATCCGCGTCCTCTCGCATAACCAAGCCGTCCCTCATCGTGCATCTATCGAAGTAGATTCGACAGTGCGAACGCGTCACGGCCCTACCGCTAGTGGTTTCAGCGTTTCGTACCGTCATTATCAGCAGTTCGCGCGGATTCTGATCAACGTCCTCGGTATACACTAGGATACAGATTGCCAACAGCCAGCATTTCTTTAAATTTCATATCCTCCGCTTGAATATCGCACAAAGTGATCAAGTTAGCCGGGAGTAACATCGACGATATGGCGTAAGTCCCCGTGATAGCTCACGGTTTGGATAAGAACTGACGACTCCTTTTCATAGCAATCTGGGGTCAGCTTTCCGTTCGTTTTGGCATACTATGACCAGTTATGACCGACGTAGGTACCCATGTTAAAAGGGAGAGAGAAAAAAAGATCCATGAACAAGGTTGCTAAGATCATATGCAGACTCGAACTATGATTCCCCCCATCGGACTGGTCGCCACGTGCCTCTGAACCGCCAAAGCACATTAACGTCGGTTGCTACCGCCTCGGAATCTCGCGCTGATATCACGTCTCCATATCAAGATGAGTTGGGTCGGTTATCTAATCAGGCAGATGGAACTGCATACATGGGTGCCGGCATGCCTTCTGCATCCCCACTCTCGCCCGGCCCCAACGGCCCTTACTCTCCGGGCCTGAGATCATTCAATGCCCGGAGGGAGAGTTCAAGAGATGATGGGTTCGAGGCCGTGAGCAGTCCTGGTGACATTCAAATGCAATCATTTGCCGACGGTGCTCCCCCAGCACCACCCGTGAGCCACTCGTGGAAGCGTATAGATCGATGGGCTGAAGAAAACTATCCTGAGCTTTTCGACCAGCTTTGTGAAGGCTGCACAGATAATGATTTAATCGAGCTTGAGCACCAGCTCGACTGCTCATTGCCCCAGGACCTCAGAGACTCTCTCATGGTTCACGACGGCCAGGAGCGCGGTGGTAACCCCACTGGGATTATTTTCTCCTCTATGCTTCTCGACTGTGAAGAAATGGTGCAAGAGTGGGATCAATGGCGGAGGGTGAATCAGCAGTATCTTCTCGAGACGTCAATTACGAAACCTGCGGTTCCCTCAAAAGCGTTTGGTGGCAGTAGTGAAGCATCCTCTTCTCGATCGGCGCCGGGCTCCCCGGGCTCCCAGACGAGCTCCCAGAGAGGCTCTTGGCGGCAAGATCTCCAATCCCGGCAAGACTCAGTTCCTGCTGGCGCCATCCAGCGAGCCTACGCACATCCGGCTTGGATTCCTCTTGTACGAGACTGGGGTGGAAATAACCTGGCCGTAGATCTAGCACCCGGCCCAACTGGTCTTTGGGGACAAGTTATTCTATTTGGGCGAGACTACGATACCAAATACGTCGTGGCCAGATCGTGGGGCGCTTTCCTTGCCATCCTCGCAGATGACTTGAACAGCGGCAAATGGTTTGTCGACGAAGATACCAACGATCTCAAACTACGCGAGTTTAAGACCACTCGCGTTGAGCCCTCGTACTTCGACATTCTGCGCTGGCGAATGGACCAGAAGCATGGGCGCACTGCAAAGTCGGTGGCAAAGCGCAAGTCAGGCGTGCCAGGCAGTGCCGCGTCACCTGGTGGCTCACCTTACACCAGCCCCGTCGACGCCAATGGCGATGTTCGTGGAAGATCATTACAACGACTCAGCAATCCATCACCGTTGGTGAGCCCTGCTCGGGTTGGTTTCGGGAAATCCAGCGCACTTGCGCGAGTTGCGGAAGAATCAGGAAATCCCGAACCGAAACTCGTTACCAATGGCATCAAGGAGGACAAGCTCGTCGAAGTTGAAACACCAAAAGTACGAGACGATGCTTCATCAATTACCAAGCAAGACGTTCCGCCCGTGGCCAACGGCAAGGGTCCCTCGACGTCGAAAACGGAGACGGATCTAATAAACGGTCACGTAGACGAGATTGAAGGAGGCATGAAAACCATAGAGATCTGATGAGAGTTCTACGATGAAAAGCAACGATAGCTTACGTTCCACGACCAAAACATATCCAGCAAAAGGGCGGCGTTCAGGGCGTCGGATTTAGCAAACGTTCCATGAGCATCATCTCGAGAGCGCTTCAGAGTTATCCCTCACCTCTTCTACAACAACGCCATCGGCATTCGCACGCTGGGCACATGGGGAGTTGGACACCTACCACCTCGGCTTGCTTGAGCCACCCGCAGAAACATGAATGCGATTTCAGGGTGGCCAGCAGGTGCCCCAAGGCCGTGGTGGTATTTTCCATTCTTGTACCAAAACCGTATTCGTCCACTTTGCTTCATGAGGCTCGGCCACCTATCGACCACGTTCAGAAATTGTTTCAGCTTCGTGCTAAAGAGAGACGCATTGAAATAGCGAACTTGTACGGGGAAGCGCTCCAATAGCGACCTGTACAAAGAGGGAGGCGTTACCATGGTTTTTCGCGCTTTGCGATCATCGGGTGGGTTAATAGATCTGACGGGTAGCTCTGGTCGTCATCAGGGCTCACATTAGTAGGCGTCGGAGGTAGCAATATCTATACAGTTTCTTCTTGAGACGGCTACTATGTAGCATAGCGACATGCACGCCAATGGGAGTACCATGGCGGGGCGCGTAATTGGATTGCACGAGTTCGTAAAAAAATAATGCAGTAACCATTCAATGAGGTGTAGACTATGATCATGTAGCGCACCTATCTAAGTGGTCTTTGCATGAGTTACAGCTATCATAAGGGCAGCCTGCCTTGACTCCTGAGGCATGTACAACTAGTTGCGGGAGAGCTGTTGAGAGGGAATAGCTGCATCACGTGATAGTTGCTCTGTGTGTAGGTATCTTACACTTCCAATCTGCCTACCGGGTAGGTTTAGTGAGTAGCGAACGCTAAGACGTGCTGGCTGAGCTGCCAAGGCCAGAGCGTCATCAGCCTCGGACCCGATCCACCTAATGCTCGTCCTCCAGAGTCCACACCCTCACTATTCACGTCCTCGAAAGCTAAGATACAGCAACACCGCACCAGCTACCTCCGCTTAGCTATCTAGCTATCTCAGCCCCGAGGCCGCCATTCTCCCTACCCGGCTGCAGATACCGCCTACGACACCCCCGTTCCGACGATCCGAAGCGAAGCCCGAGCGTCATGGAGGAGGACCGTCTCTGGAAGTTTGGCAAGCCGGCCTGGCTGAACAGCGCCTGGGCGCGAAACGCCGGCGTCTACTCAGCTGGTGCTCTGGTGCGTTCTCCCCTCCCTCCCTCCCCCCCTCCGAACCAACCCGAGTCGTCGCCGTCGCGGTATCCTCTCGCGTCGGCATCCCATCCCATCCCATCCCATCCATTACCCCCCCTTCCGTTGCATGGCGGGAATTCCGTCCCGTTCCGTACCCTACGCTGTGGCTAACTCACGCCGTCTGCGCGCCGGTGCAAAACAGTTCTCGCTCGCCTTCTACGTGCTCATCGACGCGGCCGTGTGGTCGAAGTCCCCGCTCAACGCGTCGGACGTGCACGTGACGTTCATCGACTGGCTGCCGCTCATCTTCAGCTCGCTGGGGATGCTGATCATCAACTCGGTCGAGAAGGCGCGGCTGTCGGCGGACTCGTTCAGCTACTCCGGGTCGGGCGTCGCGTGGAAGGCGCGCGTCGTGCTGTTCCTCGGCTTCGCGGCCCTCGCCGGCGGCATGGCCGGCGGCGTCGTCGTCTTCGTCCTCAAGTTCGCCGTCCACCAGGTCGCCTGGCCCATGATGGGCATGGGCGTCGAGAACATCGTCGCCAACGGCCTCGTCGGCCTCTCCTCGGTCGTCCTGTGGGTCAGCCAGAACATGGAGGACGAGTATAGCTACAACTTGGCTCTGTAAGGGGGTGATTCGATGTTGGGCGGGTTTGTCTGTATAGCTACGCGAGCGCCTGTGGATTTGCTGGGAGAGGACGGTACGGTACATATTTTAAATGCGAGCTGCCTGGAATCGCTAAGTCTAGCATAATTAAGTTGATAATGGGATTGAGTGCTCTTACGGACCTCATGCTCCCTCCCCTCGGAGAGCTGGATGAACATCCCTGTACTTTCTTTAGTACCACTGCGAGGTTTGGTCAATGGCGCTGACCAGCTACAGCTGGATATTGGTTCTTGAGAATGTGGTCGCCTACTCCATGCAGTGAAGTCACGCATCCAAGGGAATCGTGGTTGGTTGATTCAGTGTGTTCTAACTCTTCGACCCCAGTGCGACCTGACCGAAAGTTCACCTATTTAGTCCCTACCTATATTCTAGGGTTGCATATAGATCATTCATTTATTATGTCTCCTCGGCTATACAATCGATGTTCAGGCTGCCACTATGTTTGATATATTAAATCTTCTTCCTAGTGAGGGTCTCATTATCTAGGTGATGTGTTATACATGGCGATGGTTGACTGCCTTAAGCTTTAATGCCTTAGAGGTAGTTCGCTATTAATTAACTCGTCATCAGCCAGACGGTAGGCTATTAAAAATAATAAAAAGGAAGAAAGAAGGGCGAAGATCGCACACATTCAAATGGTACAAATAAATACAAGGAAAGGAAAAAGGGGAATTGACCAAAAATTGGTGCACCTGGTGAGGATTGAACTCACGACCTTCTGATTACTGCATAGAGGGTACCCGTAAGGGAACCAATTATAAGACAGAAATGCTTACCACTGCACCACAGGTGCTTCTGAAGCATTGTGCTATTAATTTGTTTTATATATGTGAAACGCTCTTAGCCTCCCACTGTACCAACCGCGTGCGAAGTGTGTTTAAAGCCTCACGGTAAAGTTGATTACTAGTTGTGTGCTATGTGTTTTAGACTCTTTTCCCCTCCCCCTGGAACCCTATCTTCCGACCTTAATGTTAGCTTTCTGCTTTCATTACTTCGCAATGCAGAAAGCCTCCGGCCAAAAGGGCTATGCGGGCAGGGTCTTGGCGCCTATTATAAGGCTAGACTCTGGGGCAAGCCTAACGGTCCCACTTTAGTCCGAGCGGCGGTCCGTCGACTCGCTGTAGCTTGGGTCGTGTCACAAAGTACCTTCGCAAATAATTGAACTGGTTAGGAAATCCTCATATCTAACGCCTTAATTCAGATTCGAAATCAACATCAAAATCAATAAAAGAAAGAAAATAGGGGTATGTATGTTCAAACACTTCCCCGACTCAACTGACTCCGCCATGCCCTTGCCGGCAAACTGGCTATCCAGGCTACTAACAGATGCGAGGGCGCCCACTTCATGAGCGGCTATGATAATTCGTAAAAACCCAGAGTCTTTTTCTACGCCTGTCCTCTCTTGTTCTGGTCATAGGCGACGATGGGAGCAGCGCCAAGCAGAATAAAGAGAATAGACTTTCTACCCTGGCCTAGTACATAAGTTGGAGGGCCTGTCTCGCAGCTCGAAGTCATCGTAGTTCAGATAGATGGAACTTGTTCATGCGCCATCTTCAGCATTCCCTATTGTAATAGAGTCCCAAGACGTAGTATTGGAATGGGACGAGTGCCTACACCCTTCTCTCAAGGGTGAAGTCGTGGGAGTGTCGGCCTGTCTCCGTAGCTCCTTTTTAGTGTTTTTGTACTTGCCCCCCCCCTTCCCCCAGTAGCGTATTGCGCTTCCAGTCGCCCTACTCCCTCGTCGCTCTCTCACGTCACTCTTGTATAAACCACGCTGGCCGTTTTATGATACAGGACAATAGTATGTGTGATATTAGCTACGGTACAACTGCCCATTCAAACTGTTCAGTCGTAGCCCCAATCAAGTGATCTTGAGTATACTACCGTCGAGAACAACATCACAGTAAATCAAATAGACGAAGAGGGGGGTTTGTGTACCCAGTCTCTACCAGTCGGTGCCGTAAAAGATAATTAGTGAGCCGAAATGCTCTGTTTTCTTGATGCATATTCTTGCCGGAGAAGTCCATTGTAGACGTAAGTGCTGTAATATTATATACTTTTCCGCAGTAAATAAAACCCAAAATCTCCCGAACACAGACAAAACTGGTCTAATTAAGGTGTACCTCGTACCTTCCGTACAAAATATAGTAAAATTAAACCTCGAACTTTAAGCACTGGCACGTTGACCGATATACATAAAATGCAAGTCGCTGCTCGGTTTCTCTGCGCTTTCTATTACATATTATTTTTCGTCCTCACCGGCTCGCTCTGGCTTTGTTGCAGAATCCTCATAAAATCTCAAATATCTCCTGCGTACGCTATTTTTTATATTATTTCAGAGCTACCTATTAGCACGTCTACAGAGAGTCTTATCCCCTCTTCTATCGCCATGCCGGCACAACAATCACAACAACTACAACTACAACAACAGGTGTTCCATCTTTTCGGGCAACTCCCAACCGAGCTACGCCTTGAAATCTGGCGATACTCTTGGGAGCCAAAAACTGTCACGTTGTATCCGGTCGATAGGGACCATTTTTTACGTCCTACGAATAAAAATCAACTTCCCGCCTCAGCTTATGCGAACTCCGAATCTCGGAGTGAGACCCTTCGGTATTACAAGCGTTGTTTTGCCCAGCGGTGTGGCTTCCGTTGGTTTAATTTCCGCCTCGACACTCTGTGCGTAGCAGGAGAGGGCTTCTTGCAGGGGCTTAAATTTCTCGATCCTAGCAATCTCAGAAACGTGAGGAATTCTCGAAATCAAACCCCCCCCCCCCCCCTTTTATTTTGGTAACTTTCAGAGCACAAGATTTCCTTTTGGGACCAAGGCAGTGCCCAGAAGCTATTGAAATCTTCCCAAATCATGCTCCAAATGGCGATAACTGACTCCGAGTGTCGCAGGTCCAACGGCTGATCGTCCCGGAGTCTATGCCCGGCCTTACCGAGGCGACGACGCCTTGTGATGATACATGGCCCGAGCCTGTAACTGAATCATTCGAGTCCCCGCAAGTTGAAGAACTGCTGCGAAAGAATTACCCTAGTTTAAGAGAACTTACCCTTACGACGAGTAGGTGGTATTCATGTAAAATATATTCTTTTGAAGAGAAAAAGGACTTGTATTACCACTGTTTCGTCAACAGGCGAGGCCTCTTTAAAGGCTGGGGTCATATGAGGAGTACCTACGTTGGTGGGCTTAGAGTTCGGCATTCGCCTACAGGGAGCAAGACATATCGGCAACGATACTGTTGCCGATTAAATGAGGAAGACGTTGAGTTGTTAAAAGACGAAGTCATTTTACAGTTGAGCACCTAGTTAAATGGGGTTTAAGCTATCGGTAAGATCGGCGAGGTGCTTTTACCCTTCGGGGTCGTGGTATTCATTCTTGGTAGGCATACGGTTAGAGTTAAGTAACCAGCAGTTGTTTATATGGATTCAGGATATTTCACTGGCGATCCTACCGATGATATCGCGATGACGAAGTTGGTATAGACTAGAGAAATCATTATGTCAGTGTTAGCACATTTGATCCGAGTGAATTACAGTACGACAAGGTTGATAGAAGTGCTATGTGGGCGGAGAAGACATGCTGAGGACTGACTCAAATGAAGGGGAAACAGTGTAACCTCATATACTAGGCTAGAAGTGAGCTGTGTATCAATAGGAGTTCTGTAACTACGGCCAAAAGCAACACACCAAGAAAACCGAGATATAATACATTTATTTCTACAGTTGACCTATTGATCTATGCTCGGATCGCTCGTCCACTTGGGGAGGTAGAATTTCGTGTTTTCATACACGAGAAACGTGACCCATGTTGCGGGCATGACTCTCACCACACCAGGGATAATGCCACGGTAGAAGCCCCGCCACCCTTCCTCGGACCAGGTCCTCTTCATGACGCCTCGAATACCTCGCCCAAATCGTTCCTCGGCGTCGTAGTTCTGAAGACGGCTTCGGATGACTTGATACGGGTATGTGACTGCGCCAGCCACCAGTTTAGACACGCTCGAGATGACTAACGTGGCCTCATTGGTCATTCGCTGCTTACCACGATCATCCGGGTGGTTTGCCTCTCTGGCAATCTTCTGCCGTCTCTTGATGTACATCTGCTTCAGTGGGTCGTAGACGGCAAACTGTACGGCTCCGTGAGAAACACCAAAAAGACTGATTCCCAGACCACGGTAAAAGCCCCTCCAGCCCTCGGTCCGCAGAAGCTGTGCGGCGCCCACCCACATGCTGGGATATGCGCCAACCGCACCACGATCGGAAGAGAGCATGCGTGTTTTCAGAACCCAGATGGGGTTGGTGAGGACCTGAGTGAACATGCCCGCCACGCCGGACGCGATGAAGTAATCCTGGGGGCTAAGCGCGGCAACCTTGTCACCGGGCGACCGGCCCTTGATGGCCAAGATGACATTCTCAGCGCGGGTCTTGAAGAAGAAAAAGGAGGCCCAACTCGAGGCGTTCCCAAGCAGGTTCGGCGTCAGACCACGGTAGAGGGCGGCGACGGGATGTGGTGTGCTCGTCAAACCGCGAATCACCGAGAGAGTGGTCAGAGTCTGGGTCTGGGTCTGAGCAGCTGCGCCGTGGCTGCGATGTACTGTTCGGCCGTCAGTCAACAACAATGCGCACGCAACACAACGGTCCGAGCGAGCGAGCGAGCGCGACGCACTTTGCATGCGGGTTTTCACGATGTCCAAGGGATGAACGACAAGGGTCGCGACAGAGCCGGCGGTCAAGCCGGCAATGGTCTCGACGAAGGCGGGAGAGAGGCCCGCATCGTGGCGTGTCATAGAGACAGACGAGCGATGCAACGAAAGTCAACGATTACATTATGTGTCTGAGCACAGACGGTAGGTCTCGGTAACGAAAAGAGCCGTGAATCATGACGGCGATGGAAGGGTCCGAGGTCCCCGGCTGTTACCTTTCTTTCACTTTTGCAGCGGGAACGGGGATCCACGCGAAACCGCCTGCGATAAGATGGTATATCCGATAGTGGCATAATTCCGCCAAGTTCCACTGTCCCAGTGGATCTACAGTAAGGAGGTAAGGGATGGACGTACTTACATAGTACGTATGTACTTAGGCAGCCACCCGGAGGCCGCACCTCCAATCAATTGGCGGGATGGTCCACCTCACTGGCAACTCTTCATCTTAAGCATAGCGAACGACAGAAACCGGTGGCTTGCGCTTTTTATACTTGATTTCAGGTCAGCCAAAACATTTCGCATGCCGGCAGTGATGGCGGCAACAACGGAAACAACGGCAATGGGAAATGCTTCCAAGATTGCCGAGACACCCGAACTGTCGATAGTGGTTGAGTTCACGTGCGGCCCTGCCACTCCTCACCCGCCTCGTGCTGTCGCTGACTGAATGTGTCAGTGGCGGGTTGGAGATGCTGTTCTCAGACCAGCGCCGACATGCGCTCTCCATGCCGGCGATCGACAAGGACAGCAAGCCCGTGACCATCGCTTATCTCGTAGAATACCTGTGTGAGAACACGATGAAGGACACCCGGAAGGAGTTATTCGTCCTCGACCACCATGTGTGAGTGATGCCCGGTGCCTCTTCACCGCCCCCCCCCACCTCGTCTTGGAGACACCGTTCTGGACATGGGCAGATCGCCGTATGGTGCGGCCGCAGGGGTGTTCTGGCGTCGAATCGCTGGTCGTGGTCGAATTCCTTCGCCAGCTCACCGACCGAGGACGAGACATGTGAAGACCAGAACCGACTGACCGGGCTATCACAGGCGACCGGGTATCCTGGTTCTAATCAACGACGCCGACTGGGAGT